TATATATATATATATATATGTATAAATAGGGGAAAATGTTTTTACAAGTTGTCTTCCTAAATTTTTTGGAGAACATGTGTAAAAACTCATTTTTTAATTAATATTTTTAAAAACCAATTGATAGATTGAAAGTTTTATTAATATAGATTATGTATACTAATTTTTAAATTATTCTAATAAACCTAATCACTTCGTTAATTATAAAAAACCTAACATCGTTAAATATATGTCATTAAATAAAGTTTTTTTTATCAAAGGGTTATAAATGTTAAAATAATATGAAAATAGACATACATGATCTACATGAATAGAACTTTTAATTCAATTAGCAGTTTTTGAAAATATTAATTTAGAAGGTAGGTTTTTAGACAATTCCTCTAAAAAAAATTTTAAGGGGACATTCTACCTTACACTATCCCCATATATATGTGTGTCTTTGTTAACAAAATCTCTAAAAAATTAGATGAAAAACTAACTTAAAATTATATCGTTTTAATAAAGTATCTTAATAAATGACCAAAATACTTTTATTCATACTTTTAAAATAAATTATTTTAGTATTTTTTAATAATAATTTATTGAATCGAGTAGTTATTATGCAATGTTTTTTTCTCATAAGTTTTTAGGTGCTTGATTGATAGATATTTTTTCACATATATATACATCTATAACAGTGCATATCAATCGGACTTTCATAAAAAATTAAAGTTTTAATTTCAAAAATACAAATTTTTTTAATACTAAAAACATCACATTCTAATGAATATTTTTAAAAACTAATCATTAAATCAAATGCACTATTCATCTAAATTATGCATACTAATTTTCTAATTAATTTATTGGTTATATAAAATTTAATATCATTAAATATATGTTAAAAATGCATTTTCTTGATTGAATGGTTATAAATGTTCGATCAACTTAAAGATATATGTTAATAATCTATACCAATAAAATATTAAATCTAACTATGTATTTTAAAATATTCTCTAGACGACGGTGATTTTATAGTTGAGATGCTACATTTATTATAAAAGCTATTTTTATCATAGTATAAGTACAGCAAATTTAATCAATTCTTACATCTTATATATGTATAAGTATATCTTTAATTAAATTTATTTACTTTTAATTTTATATTAAAAAATAATAATTTTTAATAAACATACTATAAATGTTGAATAAAAAATATACTAGAAATCAACTAGCCATCGATTTCAAAATCTAAGATTAAATTAACTTACTCGGTGACAATCCATGTTTGCCTTATATACACGGAACTAACAGCTGCACTATTTCTCACATGTGCTTTCAATTATTGGCTGCAGAGAGT